GTCCCAGAACTGAACCAGGACTAAACCAGAACTGAACCAGGACTAAACTAGGACTAAACCCAGACTAAACCAGGTCTAAACCAGGACTAAACCAGGTCTAAACCCAGACTAAACCAGGTCTAAACCAGGACTAAACCAGGACTGAACCAGGACTGAACCAGGACTGAACCAAGACTAAACCAGGACTAAACCAGGACTAAACCAGGACTAAACCAGGACTAAACCAGGACTAAACCAGGACTAAACCAGGACTGAGCCAGGACTAAACCAGGTCTAAAACAGGGTCAAGTCAGGACCATAAACTGTAACATAACCATCTGTTGCGTCTCTATAGCGACAGATAAACCGCCCAATCACGTCAGCCCCTGGGGAGGAAGCCCCGCCCCCTCCACCGCTTCAGTCTCTGCCAAACAAAAACTCTCACAACGAGAACCACGACTGAGTAGAAGAAGAAGTAGTAGTAGCAAGTAGTAGTAGTAGAAGTAGAAGTAGTAGTAGTAGTAGTAGTAGTAGTAGTAGCAGTAGTAGCAGCAGTAGTAGCAGTAGTAGTAGTAGTAGTAGTAGCAGTAGCAGTAGCAGTAGTGTCAGATCTGTGGAGAGGCGACGCCGCTCAGTCACAGTGTTTGTGTTTCTCTAGTGATTTTTCAGCTGTAAATCCGTCTGTGAATGAATAAATGTAAAGTCAATCTGTTTAATGTCACGCTGCGGAACATTCCAGACAGACCGGCCACGTCTCCATAGAAACGAGCAGCTGACAGACGAACCCTCCAACCAGAAAAGTGACAGAGTGCAGCTTTAAATGTTTGAGTTATGAAGAGGAGGAGGAGGAGGAGGACGGGTCACTGCAGGACAGACGGACAAAAAAACACACAAAACAAAAAAACACTCACTCCGCCTGGAACGTCTCACACGGCTCGCTCCTCCGCAGATCTGACCCAGTGACAGCTCTGATCCGTGGAGAAGCGAGCCCTCGCCTGAGTCCAGCTCCGCTCTGTTCATCCCACTCACAAAAAAACAAATAACCCACAAAAAATAATAATACTTTTACGACTATAATAAGAATAATGCCACACTGCGGAACATTACGGGCGACGCACTGACATCCCCATGGAGACGAGCGGAGGGAACCGACGGACACTTCACCACAAAAAGTTCCACAGTGCAGCTTTAATTACAAATCTGTGCATAACAACATTTTTCTTTTTTTTTTCAGTTGTAATGTGGTCGTGCAGCTCGCCTCTCCGCGGATCCGACCCGGAACCGAGCCGGTGGTGTCGGCTGCTCGTTTCCACGGAGACGCGGGTTCGACGGTTTAATGCCACACTGCGGAACATTCGGCGGCAGAGGGGACGCCGGCGAGAGACTCCGGCGAAAACGCGCGGAGCGAAAACACCCGATGATGTCACGAGGTGGGACGGAGCGCGAGGCGAAGGAAACGAACGACTGTGAGGAAGAATAAAAATAAAACTGCTGCAAAAACAAAACACGGAAGAGTTCAGTGTGAAAAAAGGATTTCACCCGAGACAGAAAGAGAGAAAGAGAGAAGGAGGGAAGGAGAGAAGGGAGAGAAGGAGAGAAGGAGGGAGGAGAGAGAAGGAGACGAGAGAAGGAGATGAGAGAAGGAGGGAGGAGAGAAGGAGGGAGAAGAGAGAAGGAGACGAGAGAAGGAGATGAGAGAAGGAGGGAGGAGAGAGAAGGAGGGAAGGAGTGGAGAGAAGAAGAGAAGGAGAAGAGAGAAGGAGAGATGGAGGGAGAAGAGAGAAGGAGAGAAGGAGGGAAAAGAGAGAAGGAGAGAAGGAGGGAGAAGAGAGAAGGAGAGAAGGAGGGAGAAGAGAAGGAGACGAGAGAAGGAGAGAAGGAGAGAAGGAGGGAGGAGAGAAGGAGACGAGAGAAGGAGAGAAGGAGGGAGAAGGAGAGAAGGAGGAAGAAGGAGGGAAAAGGAGAGAAGGAGGGAGAAGGAGGGAGAAGAGAGAAGGAGAGAAGGAGAAGAGAGAAGGAGGGAGAAGAGAAGGAGACGAGAGAAGGAGAGAAGGAGGGAGAAGGAGAGAAGGAGGGAGAAGGAGGGAAGGAGAGAAGGAGAAGATAGAAGGAGGGAGAAAGGAG